CGGAATGACAAATGTTAAAAAGGGTTCGGAAAAATGAGGGCTCTGGCAAGCATGGACCTCAGAATCTGCAAAAGAAGATTCGATTTAAATCGTAGATACTTATATGCTAAGCCTTGCCTATGGATTTCAAATTTACTTACAGCTTTTTGGCCAGAAACCTATTCGATTCCGATTCTCGGGTTTTGAGCACGCCAGAAACTATTGATTTCTTGTAAGACCGCTTATTCGAACAGCCCAGGCAATCATCTCTGCTAAGGGGTACTATACCGAGACCGCCGGAACGGAATGACAAATGTTAAAAAGGGTACGGTATAAAAAGGGCTCTGGCAGGCACGGACCCCACATCTGCAAGAGAAGATTCGATTTGAATTGCAGATACTTATATGCATAAGCTTTAGGCCAATGAACTTCAAACTTACTTACAGCCTGTTGGCCAGAAACCTATTCGATTAAAATTCTCAGGTTTTGAGCACACCAGAAACTATTGATTTCTTACAAGACCGCTTGTTCGAACAGCCCAGGCAATCATCTCTGCTAAGGGGTACTATACCGAGACCGCCGGAACGGAATAATAAATGTTAAAAAGGGTACGGAATAATAAGGGCTATGGCTTGCAACAGCACTTGGCATCGAATTAACATCCATTTGAAATCAATTGGAATTTATTTATAATTCTATTAAAAAGCCAATTGAAAATCGAATTGAAATCCGTTCGAAATCGATTAAAGTCTCATTTGAATTCCTTCTAAAATCAATTGGCACCGAATTAAAATCCATTTCAAATCAATTGCAATTTAATTAGAATTCTATTAAAAGCCAATTGAAATCGACTTTGAAACCGTTTGAAATCTAATTTAAATTCCTTTTAAAATCAATTGAAATAAGATTAGACTCACTTTGAAATCGATTGAGATGTAATTTAAATTCCTTGTAGAAGCCATCGGCATCGAATCAATATCCATGTCAGATCAATTTAATTAGAATTCTACATATTAGGGTTGGTTTTATTATAAGGGGGAAGGGGTTCATTAAAATGTTAATGGCAAATATATCCCAGGACTTCGGCCTGAGGGCTTAGGGCGTAGGGTTTAGGGTTTATGGGTTGCTCTGGGATCCCCCCAAACAAGTTTTCCCGAACTTGTTTGGGACCCCCCGGATTATTCAGACCTCTCTACTTGTTGGGGGGGGGGGTTATAATCAGAACCCCCCCCCATTAGATCTTGTTGGTGTTTGTTGGAGATGCCCAAGCCCAAACTCCAAAGTGGTGAAACCCTGCAATGAGGGCCTGCGCTCTTGAAACGAAGTTGTGCAGGCAACAGTTGGCGTTTGCCAGCAGATTTTTGGTCACGATCATCCAGAGACAAGCATATCAAGCGTCAAGGTGTTTCGGCTACTCGGCCTTCACGAGCTTCACGAGTCATGTGGCAGATGTGGCAGCGGGCAGCCAGATTGGCAACAGCGGTTTGCTAGCCTGGCCGATATCCGGACAGTGCTGGTTGACCGCCATGCCCGCTTCATGGCTGCTGTTGCATGGCCTGAAGCAGCCGGATTCGCCACAAGCATGACTCAAGCAGCCGCTAGCCCACGTGTCCCGCTCAGCCGCTGGTTCAGTTCCCCGAAAGCTTTGCAGACGCTTGACCTGGACGACCAAAAGTTGGGCCAGTTTGCAGGCCGGACAAATTTGGGTGCGCTGGGGCAGCTTGAAAAGCTGGAGACGCTGAAGCTGCGCCGCAATGTGCTTTCAGAGGCACCTGTCGAGCTTGGACAACTGACCCGGCTTCGGGAGCTGTGGTTGACTCAAAATGATCTTTGTGAACTTCCAGACAGCTTTAGCAATCTCGCGAGGCTTCAAGTCCTGGCTTTGGAGCGAAATCGTTTTGTCAAGCTTCCAAAATGTATTTGCAAGCTTCGGCGGCTCTTGCAGCTTGGTTTGGATGAGCAAGAAGCACCTGTAAAAGAGCTTGGCGCGGTGCCAGCTGCGGTGCTTTCAATTTTACGTGGCCGTGGATGTCAAGCTTCGTTTCCGTCCCTGGTATGCAACGAGCATGAGAGGCCAAATTTGAATACCATTTTTTGGGCCAACAATGGCCTCAGTCAAGTGCCGAGACTACACGCCTTTTCGCAGTCCTTGCGGCTGTTGGATTTGGCCCACAACCGCATAAGTTCCGTGGGGGACGAGATTTTTTGCCTAAGCAATCTAAGAGATCTGAGTCTGGCTGGCAATCTTTTAGAGAGCTTGCCGAAATCCATTGGAAGAATGAGATCTTTGCAGCAACTGTGGCTGCATGGGAATTTTCTGCTACAACTACCGGATGAGCTCGGAGAACTCGAGGCGCTGGCAATCCTCGAGCTGCATCACAATCGTCTCCACTCCTTACCGTCATCACTAGGCATGCTGCAGAAGTTGAACTGGTTCTTTGCCCACGGGAACGCTCTTACAGATGCTCGGGTGGTGAAGATGTTGTCCATCTTGCCGAGGATAAAGATTGTTGGGCTTGGCGCCAACCAGCTGCAACTGAAAGACTTGGACTTCCAAAAGTTGGGAAGGGCCAGCTTCGGCTTGGGTTGGAACCCGGGTCTTGAAGCTAAGCCCGTTTTGACAGAAGCGTTGACCACAACTGACTTGCATTGGGACAAGATGGAAGAGGGAGTTCTTGCGGATGTCTTGGTCATCACTTTTTCGGCGCAGGGTGCTCCGGTGGCACAGGGCCAGGCCGAGGTGCGTGCACTGCGCGACTCATTTCTCAAGGTTGATGCGCTCTACGTCTGTGACCCGGCCAATGCTTGGTTTCTGCAAGACCCGTTGCAACAATGGAGGGGCCTGGCGTGCCTAGGTTGCAACGTGACATGTGATGAATTCCCTAGTCATACTGAGACTTACACCTCGGCTTTGCTCATTGGTCTTAAACGCGCAATCTCCCGTCAATGACGTGCGTCTTCACTGCAATCAGAATGCAGCCGCATCGGTGGGCCCCCAGGAAGATTCCATCCCCCATCCACAACCCGCGAAATGATGTCGGCCAAAAACTTGCAGTGGAGCGGGCGAGGTTTTGGCTAACCGTTGCATTTACACTTGATGCTGGTCAAGGTCATGCCAGCATATCGCGCACCCTCCCCTTGACCACCAGCCCCCCGCTCACCCCCCCCCCCCGCGATANNCTCACCCCCCCCCCCGCGATACCGCGCACCCCCCCTTGTTCAGTCGGCCCAGCTCAGCCCCACGCGCAGACGATATCGCGCATTACCCCTTGCGCACAATGTCGTGCACCGCCCCCCCTTGTTCACCACACCCCGTGCAGACGACATCGCACCCCGCGATAGAACACCTTCATCCAAACCTTTGTGCCAACACGCGAAGTGTGCGACCGTGGGGGGTCAAAATGCGTGGTTCAACTTTCGACATTCTCTGACACCAGGTGTCCTGCTCTCTCTCTCTTACCCCAAAGCTTTCCTGCAACTATCTGGGGAGGCGTTCAGAAGTAATGTCTTCCATGAATGTTAAGAAGGGACCGCTCCTGATTTCCAGAATTTCCCGACAACCCCTCTGGCGTTGGGTTCTCGTTTAGCACACAACCGCGAGGTGCCCGATATCGGTGCAACGTTTGCGGCAAGAGAAAACAAGGACGAAACGCTGTGGGGGCTCATCGGCTGGCTGCGCACGGGCTCAAGGGCTGGCTGTGCACGGACGGTGGATATTGTGAGCGCGGGCGAGTGGCGGTGCGGGGGGTGAGCGGGGCTGCTGGTGAACAACGGTGGGGGTGCTCGATGTCGTCTGTGCCGGGGAGGGGGGGGGGAGGGTGAGCAGGGGCTGATGGGGGTGGTGTGGACAAGGGGGGCGGGGGTGCACGATAGGATACGATAGGGTTGCAATCCAAAACACCCCGGCACAGCAAGCGTTTAGGGCTTAAGCTGTGGGGTTTCGGCTTTACAGTCTGAACTCACACAGTTACTGTAATAAACGTCCTCTTGCACAGGAGCAAAGCTCGGATACGGCATCCTGGTTTGCTCTCAAAGACAGGTCCCGACTGCCGAAGACATTTTGGTTTCCATCTTCATTCGTGACGGCTATCTTGCCTCTGGAATTTGTACTTGTCCTTATAGGGTACACTGATTTGTGGAGGCCCAGTTGAAATGTTTGAGGGGTGCAGAAGGTGCTTTCGAAGTCAGGGTCCATCGTTCTCAGGGACCATGGGGGCACCCAAGTATTCAAGTGTTTAGACGGGGTAACCAACACAAGGCAGGCCCCCTACCCACCCACTGGGAGTAGAAAACGAGTGTCATGTTGGACCTAGCAAGGGGCGGGGGGAGCGGGCGGCGTAATCTCCGGGTGGATAGAGACAAGGCTTATTCCAGACGCCTGTCCGCCAGATGCCAGGCAAATTGAAAAAAGGCAGGACAAGTTGGTCCCCGACCTTGAAAGATAGGTAATTTCCGCAGTTGCATTGTATCCTGAAGCGTGCAATTTACAAATCGGTATCCAGGCTTCAGATATAACAGACCGTAAGCTACAAATGTCTCTTCATAAGCTGTTGGTTCAATGTTGCCGCAAAGATCTGTGGTGCAGCTTTGAAAGAGATGTTGCAATTTCGAGAACAGAGTCATCTTGCAGTGAATGACTTTAGAACTGCCTGGCGGCGTGCGAGTCTCCAGAACAGGTTTTCACAGTCCCGTGCTTAATTTGCAAGAAGACTGCTGTGACTTTATCGCAGACACTAGGGCGTTCAGATATTCTGCCCTGATCATCCTTCCAAGGTACTTTGAAGAGAAAATATCGACGATTGCAAAACAGTACCAGCGGGTCTTCGCGTGGGGCGGCTCAATGGGAGGCCACTGCTGCAAAATGCACGTTCAGCCAGTCTGTTTCTTTCTTAGTGAGCTCCAGAAACGGCACTAAGAGCTACATGCAGAGTACAAGATTGTTGGCCAGCAAGTTGTATGCATGTTCCTGCAGGCTCGCGTTGGGGGTTTCTGTGCACATCCGACTGCCAACAACTCAAAAACTTCTTGGCCTGCGGTGATACGCCTGCTTCCTGCCACCATGAGCGATCGTGACCTGCGACATGCAGCACAGGGTACACATTCCAACCCTGCACATCAACCGCCTCAAAATACAGGGATGTAATAATTAATAAACAGGGCATAACCGCCCAGAAAATGCAATCACCGCCTTAGGTTTTGACTCATGACTTGCTCGAGGGCCAGCGGTGCTAGGCCAAGTGAATCATGCGGTCAAGGTTGTTTTTGAGCTGACAGGGTGTGTTTTGTTTGATCAGCTTGTTGATACATGGGTGCTCTAGGGATGTAGATGATATAGTATAGCCAAGTGAATGGCATGTGCCTGCGGGGTGGATGCGAAAATCTTCACGCAAGGATACAAGCAACTATTCATTGGATGGCGCATGACCACGTCTGGAACGCCCACACAGACGGCTAGAACCAGAGACGTCTTGAGGGTTCTCGAAGAGGTTTCCTAGGTTCTCGAAGCCGCGAGGCGTGACTCGAGCGTGACTCTGATTTTCCGTAGTCTACCGTAGGAACCTAATTAATAGAAAAGACATGGGGACTCGGGAGCGTGACTTTGGCATGACTCTGGCCCCTCGGCTGATTCTGTATGCTTTCTGGCCGCAAAAATGACGCCGATCGGCACCGGAAATCAACAAGCTGGGTCGGGGGGTTAAGTCATCACATCACAATCCAACCCTGGAAACCCGGACACACATGCAACGCTCCTACGGCTTTTTGTGTGGCTTTCAGGGGGTCCTAGAAGGTGTATTCAACGTTCCCCATATCGAACCCGCATGGCCATACAAGTACCTTCAACTAGGTGGTCCCACCAAAATTCATTGGTGATAATAAGTATTGAATTTCCAACAGAAAAACCATCACGTGACCTGCATGGACTCACGATGCTTAAACGTACAAAACTCAAAAAAACAGTACCTGACATGACCGCCTTGATGTTCAGGGCTGTTACTAACCGCCTCAATTTTGATGGCTGTTAGATTCTCAGGGCGGCCTACACTGTACGCATGGTCGGCAAGCACTTCCTGGGAACATGAGTTTTCCCGTTTTCCAGAAGTGAGTAGGGGTCCATTTGGCGGTGCTTATAGTAAGGACTAATTTGTATAATATTATTTTGGGGTCTATAATTGGTGCCCCCCCCATTTTTGGAAACTGCCACATGACACATGCTGCTGCCAGAACCAAAGGGTAGCATGGCCGCCCCCAAAAAGGTTGACGTCAAAAGGGTAATAGGTTGAGCGAGGGTCTGGGGCTTGGGCTTGGAAATCACTCAGCATACGCGGCAGGGTCCTCAATGCGCAAGGGCGCCAACATGTTCGAACAGTCACTGTGGGAACGTGAACTGCTTAGTTGGTTGCCTTGGATGAGTGAGTGCCATGGCAATGGCAGGTGCCATGGATTCAGCACGCTGGGATATCATCGTGGTTTTGTTCCCTCTCAAAAAGTTGACAGCCACATCAAATTCTTGCATAGTCCGTCTCTAGTAGCTGGCTTTTCTGATGTTTCAAGGCTTGGAAAGCACCCCCGGGTTCTACGCAACATATGGCATCAGCAGGAACACACAGTCATGCAATGTCAGAATTGGGACGTGTCTCTCGGAGTGTTGCTTTTGTGTTTAGATATCCTGGCTAAGACCCCTTGTCCTAGAATTAGTAAGCAGAGTGACAAGATTATGATTTTATGCCCAGTTGGTATGCAAATGCTGGGTCGCGGATCTATTACCAGAATGCCCCAGTTTTGGGGGGCAAACCTTTGGATATCTACCTCAATGTCTACAGCATGTCTCAGCATTCCATCCTGCCAGGTTCTGCTGCACTTCTTTTCGCGCACCTGGCCAACCGAGTACATGCATTCAGTCCTCAAGTGGACCTTGTCCGCGCCACAGACGCTTGCACGGTGACGCCGTGCTGTTCTCTAGCTCTCGGCAGCTGCCAAAATTTGTATGACACGTCAGACTTGTATGAGGATACTCGTGCATTATGCTCTGCACCCCGGGCGTCAAAACTGCAAGAGCTCAGGTCTACACATGGCCTTCCTTCGCGACCGACTCAATCCGCGAGGCTTTCCGCCAGCGCGTCCAGGAACAAGCACAAAAAATAGAGAAATGGAGGTTTCTGCAAGCTCGTGCCTGCAGGACTCTGTGAATTCGTGTGTCGGGCGTGTGCACGTCCATGTGGGTGCTGAGAACCATACAGACAATCGCCACGCGGCCACTTGGCTGGGATCTGCCAAAAGCGGTGCAGCCAAGCACAGTTTGGACCATGCATGTTGCTGGCATTTCTGGATTTCACATTCACCCAGGCTGCATTGCCTATTTGTGCTCGGATACACCTCCATGAGACAGCAAACCACAACACTATGAAACATCTCAAGCAGTCTGGGTCTTAGTTGATGAGGGAGAGTTTGAAATTATGACAAGCTCAAGCTCATCTCCCAAAAGCTGCTTCAGGCGACGGAAGCTGGCGCAACTACTGAAGTTTGAGGTGCTCAATTGGCCATTTGATGCCAAGATCACTCAAACAAACGCTGATCAGGTGGTGGATTTGCTTCTGGAAGCGTTTGAAGAGAAAGTTGAAGATGCTCCTTGAAGGCTGTGGGCTGAGACATTCATGTTTTCGCACAGATCGGAAGCCCGTTGTTAAATGATAGCCGTGATAGTACGGGACCAAGCTTGTTAATGAAGTGGCAAATACGGCTGCACTGGAGTCAGAGATAGCAATGAAAATGTCTAGGTCTAAGTGCCAAGGCTAGCGCCTTTGACAAATCGCAGCGGCTGCCCTGCCGGTAACAGTGACGGTGGTGACGGTGTCTCGGAGCAGAGCCTTCAAGTAAAAGCGATGGGCTTGATTGTAGTAAATTCTAATACGAAGCCTTTGAAAAAGTGCAGAAGGCATCCCTACATCGGCCACAACCCCCTGCCAGCAATGCAAACAAATGCACGAACTTTAGGAGATTGAAGCCCCCTAGCTCTATGTGAGCACTGGAAGCAGTTTTGGGATGTTTTGGGATTATTTCTGTGGCGAATCTGTAGGGGAATGTGTTTCTGAATCTACGAAGAGAGTGATCGATCGGTACATGAACATTTGAGCAGCGGCCAAAAACCCCCATGTGGAGTTTATATTGATATGTATGAAGATAATTAGTGACTGGCCGCGTCAACTTTTGAGGCTCGCGTCAGTAAAATATGAACATTCCCAAGGCGATAGTCTTTGCGACAGAAGATGTTGAAGTACTGAGTTTGCCAGTGGTGCTTGGCTTTGCAGGGTGAGCTTGCATACCGAAAATGTGTCTCACGTCTTACATGGCTATGGCAATATGACAAGTGTACAGCGTAAGCTGCGCATAGTGGTCTGAAGCCTGACTTGAAGGATCAATGCATAGTATATTGTCATCCTGAAGCAGCAGCACGAAAAACCAAAAAGCCTCTCTAGCGTCAGGTTGTGTTGTGGTTTGGGGCGGGCTCAGGTACCTGTCCAATGCAACCTCATGATGTCTTCAGCCCTGCAAATGAAAGAGCGAGCTCCTTGTTAATCTTTGCATCTCTCACAAAATGGTTCCCACACTTCCCACTGTGGCCGCGTCGAGGTTTAACAGCCTGAAATCAAGCTGCGATAGTTCGCGTCAGTACAGTCTTAAAAAGATGCATCCGCGCCAGCTTTTCCTTGGGCGCGTCAGTATTGCCACTGGCGGCCGCGATAGCACAACAAATAAGGACAAAAGGTTTAAAGGGTTTAGGCCACAGTTCATTTGGGGTTGAAGCAACTTCAACATTCAGGCAGAGGTCCTCAACGCGTGGACTGGCTACATCGGATACGTGAGGTTCGACTCTTAGCTTCTACAGGTTAGTTGGTCACAGCTGGCATGCAGTGCCGCAAAATTGTGCGGCAAACATTGTCATTGAATAGTTGCCGACTATGATAACGCCAGCAGTTTCAGCTCGGAATTCGCCATTGGCAGCCGCTAATAAAACGTGCGCACCCACGGCCAGCCGATGCTACACAGTGTAGAAAATCGAAGAAACGGCCCCAAGGAGGGAACGAGAAGGCCGAGCCATCAGGCATTTCAGCCCCAAGGCTCGCCATGAATCTAAGAAGTATTCAGCAATACTCAGCATACCCCCTTGACCTTGAAGCCTGGAAGGGTCACCAAAAGGAGAATACAAGGGGAAATGTGGCATGGGGCTATGCCGTTCGGGTATGTTGCATGTGTTGATGAAGTAACGCGTTCCCTTCAGACACCTGCAAAAGGGAGTTTCTGGTGTGTTATGACGTGTTTACGGTAATTCACGGTCAAGTTGTGTTCGTGAGGACGGCACTGGCATTGACACTGCAGACGACCAGGTAGACTGGCTGGCGCGGCACGCCTTGAAGTCTGGAAGCCAAGCCACCTGAGCGGAGTGAAAACAACTTCGGCGTGATGGGCGGGGTAATGAGCCAAAAGAGCGGCAACGGACGAAACTGAATCGTCAACAGTGCAGACACCAAAGTCCATACTTCGCACGAGTGGCGTCGAGAGCCCCATTGCAGAAATCAGCGATGTTCCGGCTTGTCATGGGATATCATGGGTTATGGGTTATGATCATACAATTGACTTGGAAGCTTAATAACAATTGTTCCATGAGACCACAAGCTGACTCGCGTCTTAAAGAGCGTCAAGGAACAAAAGAAGTGATGAATTCATGTCACGCCTTGTGGCCTCGTGTATGCAGCATGCGCTAATGTGTCGGCAGAATCATTTTGATGACTTTGTTCGTGCTGCAAACATTTTAGCTTCAGGATAGGCCGCGGAATCCATCATGAGCCATGAAAACGCTCACGTCATTCTCTGTTCGTAATATTGTATGATGTGTCAAATACGGCATCTATGCCTTTTTTGACTGTTGGACCTTGCATCGACTTGCATTCGTGCTTGATCTTGCCTGGTGAGTTCGCCCAAGTGCATCGAAGAATTGCACGTAACCATCGTCTTCATCAACTTGGATTGAGGCTGCACTGCTTCCGCCTCATCTTTATTCCTTGCCTCTACCGTCAGTCGCGTGTTTCCCTTGGTTTCAATAGTTTTCCAATGCAAAGACAAAACACCTGCGCACCGGTGCTTTGCTCCGTTTTTCCTGTCTTATGCTGTTTCATGGCGGGGGAGTGTAAGCCAAGTGGATGCAGTCAAGGTGCAGACTTCTCAGTCAGGCTGGCTGGGCAATGCCCAGCAGCAGACTGAGGTGGTGTCTTGATCACCCGTGCAGTAACATTTGAAAAGCCTCGTCGACTGAACACTTGTAAGACTGACCCTACTCTTCTGATGTGTTTGTTGCCTTTTCTCTCTTGATGCGCTTGTGAGAAGCAATGAGAGCGGTGGATCTTGCCTGCCATGGTGCAGCAGATCCCAAGCTTTTCCTGAGGGAGTTTGAGCTTCCCATCCTCCATTCATGGAGCATGTTGCAGTGGACCCTTTTGCTGCTTGTGGCCTCATCAGCTAAATCCGGAGTTTCAACTCCAAGCTTCTGCTATGGATTGTGCTTTCTGCTGCTGATGCTAATTGCCTGGGCGCATTCAACAGACGACATTGAAGGGCTTACAGGGCTTAGGGTTTACATGCTATCAAGGTTGGAAATGATTGTGGTTTCAGGTTCGTTGCACAAATTGGTTTGGAGCTTGGAATTCATACCTTGCGAAACCATCGAGGAAGCCTCAGACGCGCCACAAAGCTCACATTGTCCGATAGAAAGAAGGCCTGCAAAATAATAAGCGATTTCATCTTTGCTTGGGTGAGGGTAGCTTCGCATGTGACATACATTTCCTCCGGCTTCCGTTTCAGGAACTTTTTGAAGGGCACTGTTGGCACTGTTGGCACCGGGCCTTTCCGGGCGGAAGGGCTCCGAAGAGAGACGAAATGCCGCAAACCTCTGGGACTGCTACTGGTGAAATGCCGGCTGGCAGCCCACATTGATTTTTTTCACAGCCATTTCTTCCCTCACGCTGGCATAGGGTATGGCTCATGCAGGAAGGCATCGTGTTAGCTGAGTACGGCTCGAAGGCCCTTTGCAATGGCAGCATGAATCTGGGTCCATCTTGAATGTCTCATGATACCTCAAGCAACTGAGCCAGTTGTCATTGTGGCATTGTGTCGGAACTTCTGGGACAATTCCAGCACATCGCAATCGTCATGATTAGGCTGCACTTGTGAAGCCACATGCGCATGATGCCTGCAGGAACGTGACTAGGCCTGCTGCTTCTGTTTGTGCGGCTTTTGCCTGCCAAGTCCGTAGCGGATGTCTTACACAGAGTAATCTCCCATATCGTGGTTTTTCGGATGCACTTAATTCGCAACGGCCGCTCGGGCCGCTAGTGGTTCCTGCTGCTGCTGCTGCACATCCTGGTGTTTCTCAGCCTTTGCCCAGTGTGATTCGTTTGGCATGCAGGTTTTTCCAGATGGCTTCAGAAGACTGTGAAAAGCACAGTGCCAACATCGACCGGCCAACGCTGCAAGGCGAAGAAGCCACACTGGACCCGTCCTCAGCGCCCAAAGCCTCAGCAGGCTCACATGATTCCAATCGCTGACGTGTGTGCTTTAGGCTGCACCTTGCAAAAATCCAACTTAAAGGGAGATTTCTTGGGGTAAGCCCGCCGCAAATCGAGGTCCAGCTGCTGCCTCAAGGTTGGACCGCGAAAGCACTGGGGCCTGAAAGAGCTGGCAACTACTGGCAGCATTGCTACTGGTTGCGTCAGTCGGCGCCATGGCGGATTACAGTGTGTGCAGATTTTTTTTATGCGAGGATAGCTCAGCAAGGCATTTTGCTTCTGATTTTTGGAGGTTCTAGGAATGCCTACTACATAGTGGTGTCCGTTTGCGTTTCCGCGTTTCCATGAATGACGAGTACTTGAAACAGTACGTAAATGCAGATTACGTTTTATTCTGACCAACAAGCGCCGCGGCATAAACACTGAGCTTTTTTCGCACATGCATCACAGAGATCGTATCATTGAATTTTGGGAGTTTGCGCGCGTTACGGCCTTGCATGAAGTCAGATTACTTTTTCGGACTGATGGTTAAGCCAAAACCTCACCGTTTCATGAAAACGATGTGCTTGGTTGTCCTTTCACGTTGCGTATGGTTCCAGTGCAGCGAGTGCCTTGACAGCAAGAAAGAAGACCAGGCATTGCATGAGATGACAGCTTGTCAGATGAGTCAGTTTGTGGAGTTTGGTAGACTCTGTTATCATGCTATGTCATGTTCAGGGGAGTGGGTAAGATTGATTTAATCAATAGCAAGCCCCCAAGAATTGATTAAAGAGCTATCAAGTGGCCGCTGTTGACTCCCGCGGCGTAAATCACAGCCTCGTCTTCAAACACCAACGATGCCGCCTGCCTGGCCCTACAAGTATGACTTGAGAAGAGGGGCACAAAGGCTAGAGGCAGCAGCGGGAGGCAGAGAAGGAGTCATGCAGTTGCAGGGCTGAGGTGTTGAGCAACAGCTTCCGAACGAAACGCAACTGCCTCCGTCCGAGAGCTGCCGGAGCAGCCCCCTGAGATTAAGATGAAGAAGCGCTGCCTGAGAGCAAGTGTTTCGCCTTTGTCTTCACATTGTTTAACCG